CCTCCCTCCCTCCCTCCCTTCTTTCTTCCTTTCTTCCTTCTCTTTTCCTTCAGCATAATGAACACCTGCCTGTCACACTACCTGCCACATGGACAGACATACTGCTTACCAGCAAACTCCCTCAATCTACGGCCACAGTCCCCAACGATGTCAGTAGAGTACCAAGTGGGTGAGCATAGGCATGTGTGTGTGTACCATGAGCAGAAACAGCAAAGTGAAGGTGAGGTGCCCTGGCTTGGATGGACCAGCGAGATTCTCAACCGCTCTGGCCTTTGCTCCTCAGGTGCATCATCCCATTCACCATTTTCTTTTTTACCTGAATGTCTTGCTATCTATTTATATTTGAGCTAAATCATTCCCTCCATCCACCACCTACTCTGCTGATTTTTCCTGAGTCAAACAGGACTTCCAGAACCAACTGGATTACTTTTCTGCTTGGATTTCCCAATTGCTTTACATTTTATTCAGGAATGACGAATTCGAACTCCCTGCCTTGGCCTCCCCAAGGCACAGTGTGCTGGCTCTTGCTTACTCTGCCCGTGGCAGCTGCAGCCCCCTAATCCCGACAGATTCTCCACATTGCAGCCACGCTTCGCTTGCAAGGCTTCAGTGGCTTCTCATACATTCCTGTCCTGGAAACTGCTGACTTTTTCTGGAATGATGTTTGCTAATTCTTCCTTCATCCAATTAATTACTACTTATCTGTTGAAACACAATTATTTATTTAAAAAAACCCTCACACAGTGTTGCTATGAAACCTTACATTTACCTCTGTAGTGGCTTATCTGTAGTACTAGCACAGTGTTTGAATTGCTTTGTTGTTGGTCAAAAAAATGAACTCACTGAATGATTAAAGAGAGTGAGGGCTACTGACCTGTTCCTCTACAGATGCCTTGTTTGTTTTTGGTCTTTTTTGATTTTACTGTTTTTTTGTTTTGTTTTGTTTTGGTTGAATAGTTTTTTAGGAGAGGTTAATTTTTTGTTTGTTTATTTTTGTGCTGAAGACTGAACCCAGGGCTTCCAGCTTGCCAGGCAAGCATCCTACCACTGAGCCAAATCCCCAGTCCCTGACCTACTCCTCTGGGACCCAGTGGGAAACTCAACCCTCTTTGCCACAGGGATCACCCCAAGCTGTGTTCTTCTATGTGGCAGGCTCGCCAGATCTTAGAACAGACCCCAGTGAAGGAGCTGGTAACCCTGAAGTGGAGGAAATATGGGCGGCCCTACTTCTGCATCCTGGGTGTCTTGTACATTCTCTACATGGTCTGCTTTACCACCTGCTGTGTCTGCCGTCCCCTCAAGCTCCGGTGTGACAACCGCACACATTCTCGAGACAATGCCATCCTCCAGCAGAAACTACTAGAGGTAAGGCTTCTCCTCCTCCTTTCTGGAACGGAATAGTGCCGTGCTGTCATGGTGCTGCTGAGCAGACAAATGAGACCCACACAAGGGCTGCCAAAGTGCAACCTCCTTGGGTCTCCTGGTGGGGATCTAGACTTGAGATAAGGGGGCGAGAGATGGAACTCAGTTAACAGAAAAACATCTATCCAGGGAGCTATAGGATGTTTCCATAGAAATTCTGATAGAATGTTTGGTATCAGTAGCCACATATGTTTGTATAATATCTTGTAATTTACAAAGAAAACCAGCTGCTCATAGTGATTGTTCAAGAAAAACCTTGGTGTCCTAAGATTGGAAGGTTCTACTCCCAGTGCATACCTGGTGTGCTGGGGCTACACAGACAGCACTGCAGACCTATGACTGTGAGTCCTCTGGCAACAATGAGCTGTCTGTCTGCCTCTTGGAAACCTCGTAGCAGTGTGCTTGGGCTGGTAGGAGGATTCTTGAACTGATCACTAGTATCTTACTGTTATGGGCCTGCAGACCTGGAGAGACAAGGGTGGCTGGTCAGAGGTATGCAGTAGACACGAAGGTCTACTCTTGGTGAAAGCAGGTTGTCTCATATATAACAGAATAAGGGCTAGGGAAATAAGTCAGCTGACTAAGTGCCTGCCTGGCAAGTGCAAGGACCCAGGCTTGATCCCTGGTACTGTACACCATGCCAGCCTCAGAACCCTGCGTGTGCCATGCCAGCCCCAATACTGGCTGTGGTGGTGTATGCCTGTAGTCCCAGCACTGAGGAGGCTGAGACAGGAGGATCACTATGATCAGAATAAACTTTTGAATATTTTCGAACGTATAAACTTTGGAGGTACTTTAATGACTGTAAGTTGAGCCATCATCCAGCCATAAAAGCTGGGCTTCTCTAGGATCTTCCAAAAACTCTATTCACTACAATTTTTTTTTTTTTTTTGAACCGGGGATTGAACTCAGGCCCTTGTGCTTGCCAGAGAAGCACTTATTCCACTGAACCATCTCCCCGGCCCCTATTCACTACAATTAATGTGCTCCTCTGTTCCATCCTTGCCTGGTGTAGGCAGAACAACTGCATTAGGGTACTGGTTTCCTTTGGTTCCCTGCCGGCTGGAAGGTTCAAAGTCCAAGGCCCAAGTGACTTGGATTTCAGTCCTAATCCTGAAATGAAATAACTGTTTGACCCCAGGTAAATCTTACCTCTTGTGAAAGCCATGGATTTTAAGAGAAACCACATGCAAGCACCCTGCGGAACTGATAAAAAAGGAGAAACTTCTGTGTATATATAATCCGGCCTTATGAATCAGGATGTCTGGGTGTCTTATTGTTTAAAAAGTCTTTGAGTGATGAATGTTTGCTAGGATTGAGAACTACCCAATCCTACTTTTGAGGTGTGTTGAACTCAAATTTCTTGCTCTGTACCTGCCACTCTGGTCACTTAGCCGTCTGGCACCAGGGCATTCATCTTCCACTGTCACACATCCTTTTTGATTCTATGAGGAAATTCCCTCAAACTCTCCTTCAACGTTTTCCTAGAAAAATCTCATCAGTCCTTTAATTTAGCAGAGAAATAGTTAGCACCATGGATTCTAGGTATTAGAAATCCAAACTGGGTGTTAGAGTAAAACAGTGGGTTGGTAGGACTCTGGCTTCAGAATTTACAGACCTTTTACATTAAATGAGTATATAAATAGACATGCTAATATAAATTTTCTGATCATTATCATGATCTTTCCTCCATAATAAGAATAAGACAAGTCTTCATTGAGCTCACACCAGGGTTGAGGCTGTTCTGGGAAGCCAAGAAGACTCCTGAGGGAGCCTGGTCTATAGAGCCACTTTAGCAACTTCAACAACTAAGCCGATGTAACGCTCAGTTGGCTTGAGCATGTGTGTGGTGAGAAGAACTTGCCAGTTAATAATGGTGGCATCCCTACTCAGGAACGCAGGGCAGAGTAAATCCTCAGGAGGTGTCTACAGGGCCCTTTCTTGTGGCTTCACTCCTGTGCCAAGCTAGGGTTAGGGGGAGACAAAGAAAGTCTGGACTATGTTTGGCAGATGGCTTTGGTGCCATCTACTCGCTAGCCAGGGAGCCCCCACTCTCACTCTTCCAGGAGGGTGTCTCCCCCATGTCAGCAGTGCCCCAGTACTTTGGGGATTTCCTTAGGGAGCATAGCTCTCAGATACGTAAGTGAAAGGAATCCCACGAGTACAGCTTCTCAACAAAGTGTGGATGCTCAGCCTCCGTGGGGGATCTGCTTGTTGGCAACTCCCTAAATTCCAAGCCCCATGGTAATATAAAACATATCTGTCATGGCTGTAAGACATTTACCATTACAGGAGTAGATGGGGTATTTTCTTAGTGCATTAAGAGCCAGGCCTGGACTAGGAGTCTGGAAATCTCAGAAAAGCCCAAGTTGCTATCTTTTGCTCATTTTGCTTCTAAGTAGGTTTTCCTAGTCCCATTTCTTGATTCCCTCCTTACCTCCTTTTTCTGGGGGGAGGGTACCAGGGATTGGACTCAGGAGCTTATACTTACCTGGAGAGTACTTATACCCCTGAGCTATTTCCCTAGTTTAACTCCCTTTTATACTTCTTTGATCATGCTCAGTTCGAATCTGCTGCCTCCTCCTTTTTTTTCTTCCTTCCTTCCTTCCCTCCCTCCCTCCCTCCCTCCCTCCTTCCTTCCTTCCTTTCTTCTTTCCTTTCTTCTTTCCCATTTGGGTAAGCACCACCATATTGCGCATTGGGAATAAAAAGTACAGGTGAGATGTCCCTGTCAGGGAGCCGTACATTACTGGTGAGCCATCGGGCACCCATACACTTCCAGGGTGCTGGGTGAGGAGCACCAGGTGCTGCAAGAGAGACTCATGGTCTGGCTACAGAGGGACAGGCAAGGAGACCCCGCGGGAATGTCAGCCTGGCCTGAGTCTTGCAGCATAAGGAAGGATGAGACCAGCCAGATGGGGTGGCAGAAGGTGCCAGAAGGGAAGGGCCCATCCTGCCCGTGGGTTGACCTCAATAACCGCTACCCCAAAGCTCAGCGTGGCGGCCACTCATGCCAAGTGTAAGTATGTGAGACAGAGGTCCAAGCAATGAGCGCTTTGTGCATAGCATTTGATAATCTGGCTGCACCGTCTCATTCTTATCTCATAAGGAACCCATGAGATAAGAAGGAAAACAACACCTGCACATGGCATAAAACTCAAATGACAGATCCAACGAGGAGCACCCAGAGCCTGGGCTGTAGCTCCCCTGCCCCACATCTCACTCCTGAGGACAACCAGTTTCTATTTCCTGCAGCTCTTCCATTCCGTTCTCACCTCCACACTGCTACAATCACGTGGTTGCTTCTCTATTTGCTGATCAAGTTTGGATGCTATCGGGTGAATTGGTGCTATGGTAAGGGATTAGAGAATGTCTTCCACTGCCCTCTCAGCCGCATTATTCCCCTAAGGGCTGGAGGCAGCTGCAAAGGCGTAAGCTAGAGAAATGCTGGGGAGGATACAGGCATGGTGGAAGCTCAGTCCAGAAGTTTGGAGGGGGAATGGATTAGAAGAGCGGCTTGTGTAATAGTTTGGGGTTTTGCAGGGGGAACAATACAATACAGGACACATATTTAATAAGATTATTTATAGCAGTCATCCGAAGAATCATATATAAAAGAGAGTGCAGGAAATCTGTCCACAAGCTAAAGACCAAAGAATCCAGCTGAGGGCCTGGGCCCCACGACAGTTTCCTGCATGAGCCCAGCTGAAGACCTAGAGCTCATAAGAATGCCTCCCAGGAGTCCAGTAGGAGGCCTAGGGCCCGCAGCAATGTCTCACAGAAGCCTGTTTCCCGGTCAGCACTGCGAAGGCCCAAAGGTCAGTGATGGAAGCTAGAAACCTGTGCTGGTGGGAGGAAGGGTCTGTGCTAGCCGGTGAGGCTTCTGCACTAGAGCCAGGAAGTGACGCTTAATGTAAGAACCAGAGCTCCCGGGAAAAGTCCCAGAGCCATCCTCAGCGACAGTGAGGTCTAGAGAGCCTTCATGAAGAGGAAAGCCAAGTTCCCATCAGGAAAGCCAACGCGACAAGCTTCTCCAAGAGGCTGAGCTGTGCACCACCCTTCCTCCTCAGCTAGGAAGTGATAAAGTGAGGACTAGAGCTCCCCCGAAGTGAACCACAGCCCTCCTCAGCAAGGAGATCCTGAGCTTCTCTGACGAGACCAGCCAGGTTTGTTAGGAAAGCCAGCATGACAAGGTCCTCCAGTGGAACAGCCCAAGAGAACCAGCAGCCCCCTAACAGCTTCTACAGCTTCCCTCTCTGCTTCGCCAGACCACCACAGCCCCTCTCTTCTTCTCCAGTTCTGCCTCTTGTGCTGCTGGCAATGACGCTCCGCTGGGCCTCCCACACCCAGCGCTATGCTCGTTCTATTCAGCCGGATGTTACATGGTGACCACCAGTTGTCAGTCCCCCACAGTTTGCCTGAAGGACTCAGGTCTAGAAATTGAGAGAAAGTGAAACACTTGAGAGAGAGAGAGAGAGAGAGAGAGTTGCAGGCTGTGGAAACAGGACTTGAGAATGAACAGCGCTGATAGTTTCCTGAATATATACAATTGGGTTCATGGTTGCTAAACCTTTGATCAAGAGCTACCACTCCAGAGAGTGATGGACTAGTCTGTTGATTCAGACAGAATGATCTCAAATACTGTCCCTCAGACAATACAATTCTAAAAATTCACTAGCAGTGTGGGTTTAGTGTTTAATTCCAGGCATGTCATGGTGGTTCATTAAAGCAGAATAATTATCATCACTTCCAGAATATCAAAAAAGCAATCGATGAAATTCAGTGCCACCTTCCATCTTTAGATATTTTTTTTTGGGGGGGAGGGAAGGGTCTATAGGGTATTCAGGGTCTCACTACTAGATCAGACATGTAGTGATCTGCCTGTTTACAGCCTCTCAAGAGCTGGGATTACAGTCAGTCTCAATTGCCATCCCAGCGCGCCCCAGGGGCGGGGCCGGCAAGCAGACCTGGGGATTGTACCCCACACAATCTGCTGAGCTATTTAGCCGGTCTTCACCTTCTGTTTTTCAAATTACATTTTTTTTTTAATTTACCAAGAATATCTTTTCTAAACTAAGAGGCAGTGTGAGATACCAACATGAAACATCAGGATTCCCCTTAAAATCACAACAGACCCCACTTTATTTAAAAACCTTAATCTGCTAATTTTATGGCAAATTTGTCACACACACAATATTTTGTTGTTTTACAGAGACAGTAATTTATTTTTTTTTATTTTTATTTTTTGGTGGAACCGGGGATTGAACTCAGACCCTTGCTCTTGCCAGGGAAGCACTTATTCTACTGAGCCATCTTCCCAGCCCCAGTAATTTATTTTCAAAAGTCAAATAAATGCTACCTAAAAGGTTCAGCAGAAAGGGAGTCCACAGGAGACCCGACACCCTCTATCCTGGTTTGGGGAGAGACCCCAGGCAGTACGGCCTGCATGCAACTATTCCAAGGCACCTATAGCCCAGCAGAGCTGAGGCAAAAGCTTGAGGAGGTTGGAAGCTTCCTCCACTCACTGGTGAGAGTGTGCAGGGGATGCCTCTGTGTGACTGACTGGGTCCATGAAAGGTGCAGAGTGGCTTGGTAGGGCAGTCACAAGCACCTGCACTCTGCCCAATATCTCTGTAAAGTGGAGCTTCACATTATCATCTGCCACTGCCTTGCTGGCCCTGAGGGTGCTTTAGTCTTGTGCATTTGGGCTCCTTAGAGTGGTGCTCTGCAATGTGCTCACTGCTCAGCACAAGCATACCATCAATCAGTTCTCACAGCACAAGGGAGGAAGTGACGTCACTGGACAGTCGTTGACATCTAACCTTAAACCTTGGTCACACAGATTCAAGCTGTGACCAGAGGTAGAACAGAGACCAGTGCAATGTGGATGATGGGGATCATGCTGCTTGGCGGGGGGTGTCTTTACTGTGCACAGATGCTGACAGCTTTAGATGACAGGATTTCACTCTTCATCCTTCAGAAAGCTTTCTTTCCTGATTTTCCTTCTGCAGGAGGCCTATGTGACTTACCAGGATTATATCCGGCTGGCAGGGGAGTTGGTGTCTGTCGCTGGGGCTGTGATCATCCTGTTCACAGAGGTGAGAGCAGGGGTTCCAGGCTGTGGCTCCCATGGGAGGACTTTGAAGGCTCAGCAGTCCACATCGTCTTTGTGTTTCACTGGCTTCTCCCCAGATCCCAGACATTTTCAGAGTCGGTGCATCTCGATACTTTGGACAGACGGTCCTCGGGGGCCCATTCCATGTCATCATGTGAGTGTTTCCTCCTTCCGACCCTCAGCTCTTCTCAGGCATCTGGAGTTCAGTAGCCTAACTGCAGGATTTCTCTCCCTAGCCTTGTATCCATGACTGGATGTGTGTGTCAGGTGTTAAGCCCAAGTCCAGCCTGTGGGAATCGCTCTAGTCAGCACCCTGCCCCAGATGGACATAGGCTATTCCCCTCCCCCCTCACTCTTCACTCCCTGCTTCCCCAGCATCAGCTATGCCTCCCTTGTGCTTGTGGCCATGGCGATGCGTCTCACCAGTGTGAATGGGGAGGTGGTGCCCCTGTCCTTGGCACTAGTGCTGGGTTGGTGCAGTGTCATGTACTTCGCTCGAGGATTCCAAATGCTGGGTCCCTTCACCATCATGATTCAGAAGGTATGTGCTTTTCCCAACATCCTCGTGATCAGCCCCTGCCCTTCCTGGGTGGGGAGTGGGGTCAAGTGCAAGGAGGGGGTGCTGCTCAGAATGGAGCTGGGGGGACTACGGGGATCTCCCTATCTGTTAGCCTAGCTCCTCAGACCATGGAGAGAGTAATGGTGCACGCTTCTTCTCCACCTGTGCTCTGTAGATGATTTTTGGGGACCTGTTGCGTTTCTGCTGGCTGATGGCCATGGTCATCCTGGGATTTGCCTCAGGTAAGAACACTGTGAATTCATCCAGGACATTGGATCCAGATCTTAGGAAGGCTGATTTATACCTTTGCTCTCAGTTCTCATCTGCATTCTATTTTGTCATTGTTTCCTGTTTGAAAATAATTCTTATCACTGCATTCAGGACCATCCAGGTCAGCCTAGAAAGTAGCTTTGTGTGTTCTGAGTCAGTTACAGCTTCCCCAGAAGACCTTCAGTGGGAAGATAGAGATGAAGCTTTGGGGATGCGAGGAGAGTAAACTAGAAACACTGGCCAGTTGTGGGGGTCACCAAATTAGGTGGGCAAACAAGAGCAATTTAGTATTTCATAGCTCAGGTTCTCCTCTGATTACAGTTAAGAAGAAGAAGCCTATAGAAGTTAATAATATAGAGTGTCAGGGAGCAAGAGAAAAAGGAACACAGGAGGGGACAGGCAGAAAGAGGTGGGCACGTTGAGAGGACATAGAAGAGTAGAGCAGTGTTCTGGGAGGTGAGCAGAGGCAGCGACTCTCGCTCATTCCCCAGTGTGTGAAGCCACTGTGACCAGGCGTGAGCCTGGGCAATGCTTCCAATTCTAGGGGACCATGATTTATTGCACTCCCAATTCAATGTCAGATGTAATGCATGGAAGGGTAAAACTGTAGTCATTTTTCTGAAATAGTCCACTCCCCTGAACCCCATATGCCTTCTTCCTCCTCTCTGCTCCAAATGCTCCTGCACCTATACAGATTACAAAACAGAG